AGGGGTGCACATGTTCTCACCAACAGCTTGGATTCTACTAGCAAAGGATTTTTTTTTTTTAAAGATTTATTTATTTGCACATACAGAAGTGGGGTACAGGTCAGAGGTTCAGGGGCGGCGAGAGGCTTCACCAGAGACAGAGTGGGAAGCAGAACAGGCAGATCTATGAAGTACACTGCTGAGGGGCGCAGCGGGCAGGTCAGGAGAGGTCTGCCACGCCATGTGGTCACCTCTGGGGTAGGTGGGAATCGAACTCATGCGGAAATGACTTTATCTTCTCAGTGCAGTGCTTTAAGGATCCCCTTTGGTTTTTTTGAGGATCCCCTTTGGTTTTTTTGATCTCCACATCTGCAGTCTGTCTACCCTGGAGTTACCACTCATCTGCTGTGACAGTAGGCCTAAGCTATCTTCCTGGAGTGCCCATCAATTCCCTTATCTCTAATATGAGGGTACATAAAAGGTCCATATTGAGAACATATTTAGACTACGTAAATCTTTGGGTTTCAAGTTAATTCTTCATTGGTTTAGCTGTGAGAGCTGGAGATTGGGAATGCTTCATGTGTCTTCAGCTTTGCTACATGGTAGCTTTGTGAAAAGTCAGGTCAATTTACATAGATCTGTTTTCTCACCTATTTAACAGACAAAACTAGTTATTTTATGATTGATACATATCTAAAATGAAAATATGGCTTAAAAGATAAACTCTATGAGGCAGGGTTGAATTTTATACACTTTCATCAGGTCTACAAAAAAACTGTAGCTCCATTGTCTGCCAATTATTTGTCCTTGAAACCCTATGCCTGTTGAAAGCAAACATAATCTGCTACTAAATTGTAACTCTGGGTTTTGCTATATTCACTAATGGTTTAACTAAAGCATAACAACAATTGTTGATTGTTTTACTCAAATGGCTTTCTCTTCTAGTTCTCCCCCACATACTCTCTAATATATGGGGCATTTATATCTATAATGCCTGATATCTGTATCTTATCCTCATGGCCTTCACTTGTAGTGTAGTGTAATTGGGGCGGTCACTTAAGGGGCATGGGCTCTGGTTGATTCTTTTATGTGTGTGAATCTAATGTACTTTGCTGAACCATGGTCTTTGGCATAGTTCTATGAGATTATTAACACTGTGACCTCACTGTGCTAATACTCATCATTTTTCTGGTTCAGCGCTTCAAATGTTAATATTTTCATGTACCCCACTGAGTCCTATTGAGATTTTTATACTGCAAATACAAGCGACATGCAGTTGGAAGCCACTTTAAGTTCTGTGTGCATAGGCATGCATCTTTCATTCGATTTTCAAATACTACCTGCAGGATATGATACATTTTTTTCCTCAGCAAAATGAAAACATATGAAGGGTTCTTTAAGGGGTTGTCATTTTCCAGGACTACTCCTTGAGGAGCCAAAAGCAAGTGTAATCTCTACTTTAGGAGTCCCTGAACTGTCTGACTTAATGTGTCCTTTGCGTCTAACTAGCCCTACATGGATTTTCAGCTTGAGAAAGGATGTAGGAGATGTAGGGCATTCATATCTCACTTTATGCTGCTTCTCCCATTCAGTGGCAGAAGCTTTGTATTTCTTTCTTCTGTTGGATGGGATAGGTTCCTGTATTACTCTACAGTATAAGTCACCCTGCATTGCTATTTGTTCCAGATAGTTCTATTTGTTTTTAATTTTTTAAAATAAATTTTGTATTGATGGCCCTCCCTGGTGGCGCAGCAGGTTAAAGCACTGCACTAAGAAGCTAAAGCCACTTCTGCATGAGTTCGATCACCGCCTGCCCCAGAGCTGATCCACATGGCGCGGCAGACCTCTCCTGACCTGCCCGCTGTTTTCCTCATCAGTGTACTTCGTTGATCTGCTTGTTCTGCTCCTGACTCTCTCCCTGGTGAATCCTCTCACCCTCAACAGCTCTGGCCTGTGCCCTATTCTGTATGAATAAATAAGTCTTTAAAAAATTTTTTTTTTGCATTGTTACAACTTTGGCTTTGATGTTACAGTCAGATTTGTAGGGTTTATTCTTGGTTTGAATTTGACTGACTCCCTGTTTTGCTTCATAATATTCTACATGCGAGTGAAACCACATGCTATTATTTTTCTCCTTTGGACTTTGTTTAGTTTAACATAATCCCCTCCGGTTTCATCCATGTTGTCTCAAGTGGCAAGAGTTTTACTTTTCCTTAAAAGCTGAATATTATTTGATTGTATGTATATGCATTGATGTATACAATGCATAAATACATATGATGACTATATAACACCTTAATGCACACGTCTGTCTTTGGGCACATAGGTTGTTTCTATAACTTGGCTATTGTAAATGGTGGTGCAATGAACTTAGAAGTATATATATGTATCCCTTCAAATTTGTGATTTTTCATTCTTTGGGTAGATGCCTAGGAGTGGAACTGCTGTATCATATGGTAGATCTTGTTTTGAGAAAACTCCATACTGTTTTCTGCAGTGGCTAACAAGCCTACATTGCCAGCAACAATGTTTTAGGATTTCTTTTTCTCCATACTCTTACCAACATTTTTTTGTTTCTTTTTTTGGCCATTTTCACAGGTGTGGCTAGAATCTGAGAGTTTTTATGTGTGAGGAAGGACACATCTGATTTGACTATTGCAGGAAACACTCATACTTCCTTTCCATTTACCTGATTGTGGGCTATAAAGGCAGTTGCAGTCAAACATCAAAAAAAGAAGTCAGGCCCTCCCTCGTGGCGCAGCGGGTTAAAGCACTGCACTAAGAAGCTTAAGCCACTTCTGCATGAGTTCGATTCCTGCCTGCCGCGGAGGAGATCCACATGGCGAGGCAGACTTCTCCTGACCCGCCCACTGCCCCCCTCAGCAGTGTACTTGTCTATCTGCCTGTTCTGCTGCCCACTCTGTCTCTGGTGAATCCTCTCACCCTGCGCATCTCTGGCCTGTACCCCAGTTCTGTATGAATAAATAAATAAATCTTTAAAAAAAGATGTTTAAATAAAACACAAAAAACAAAGTCAGACTCATCACAGGAATACGTCTAAGAGAGTCTTCCATGGTCAAATTAGGAACAAGTTGAGGGGGAAAAAAGAGAGAGAAAGTTGAATTGTTAATATTGGTAGTATTATATTATAGTTTTAAGTAATATAAATAAATGAGTACATAAACATGGGAGAAGAGAACACTCTCAGATATAGAAGAATCCTAAATCATATAAGTAGATACTTTTCTTCAAGGAAGTGTGGAGCTTAGCAGCTTGGTTGTTAAATATTGGCTGCACTTGATGGCTTTCTTCCAGAAGTACAGTTGAAACATTGGAAAATGTAGCTTCACAATTGGCAAAAACTGAGAAATATGACTTCCAGGAAAGTGATGAAGGTTAATGTCAGAGTTAATCATGTTGATAGCACGTACCTTTAATGTAATGTGTTAATCATAGCACTTAGTAGTCTTTGTCTCCAAAACTCACGATTCTAGAGAAACCCTGAGAAAACATCTAGCAGATCTAGATTTGTTAGCATTCTGTATCATATTACCCGATCATACTCTTGAAAATTGTCAAGATCATTAAAATCAGGGAAAAATCTGAAAAAATGTCCTAGTCCAGGAAAGGCTAAAAGACATAGTAACTACATGTTAGAGGGTATTCTAGATGGGATTTGGGAGTGGAAAAAGGATATAAGAAAAAGAGTAATTGAGTTTGAACAAATTACAAACTTCTGTTAGTGATGTTCTAAGACTGGTGATTACTTGTGACAGATGTACCACAATAATGCATGCTGTTAATGGGGAATAGTGTGCAGGGTACAGAAATTAACTGTGCTGTACTTACAATTTCTATGTAAATCTTACACTGTTCCAAGAAAAAAAGTACATTTCATTTTTTTAATAATGCATTTGATAGCCAAGAATAGATAAAAAAAGTTTTTCAATTTTCTTTTTTAAACAAGGAGGTCATGAGTACTAGTCTATAGGCTATAGTTTATTGTCTGTTATTTTCTTTAAATGAAGAAATGTTGTTATTCAGTGGTAGTAGAAAAAAAATGTATGTTTGTGTATAATTAAACAGATGGTGTTCTCTGTGTATAATCATCTACAATAAGGGATGAGATAGTTTTAATGTTGACTATTTAAATGTGTTATTCAGGAAATAAAGGTAAGTGGTAATGTTTGTATACCACCAAACTAACAAATGTTCTTAATTATAAAACATGCCTAATAAAATGAGTGTTTTACTCATTCACTTGTTATAGAAGAGGTAGGAAATGAGCTAAAAGGTTCAGGAATAAAAGCAGTATCTATATATTTTACTGCCCACCTAATAGTTATCTTTGATGGACATAAAGGTGAATTAAGTTGTGATGCAATTTTAGAGGGGAAACCTCGCTCAAAGTAGAGAACTGAATGATGATCATTCAAAATGTACAATGAGAATTCTGGATTTGCAAACTGTTATAAAATAAATGTTTCAGATCTTACCCATGATAGATATTCAACATTTTTCTTTTCTTATAATTCTGTTTAGTTTTTAAAAAATACATAAGAATTAATTGAACAGAGTAATACTTTTTATACTTTCCTTATAGTACCTAAACATTATACTTTACATAATATTTTTTAACCTTTTATGTATAAGCCTACATTTTTTATTTTAATTTTTTAGATTTCTGGACTTCAAGCAACATTGAAGCATTTGGAAATAGGGCACAGTTGCCATGTTCCAAATATCAGAGGTAAAACTAAAATGTGAAAAATCTCTAATTTTGGGTGATTGGTGATTGCTCAGCTTTACCAGATCTCAAAATTCTAGAGATATTTAAAAGTGAATATATGAGGTGGCGACTATATCACAAATTAAAAGGTTAATGAAAAGATCAGAGATAATATTGATACAATGCTATTTTGATTAATCTTAGAAAAAAATTTGAGTAAACCTGCTTCTGGTCATGATGGACTCACTGCCTGGGACCCTATGAGACTTATCTACAAATAACTCTAAAGCTAGAGTTGTTATATAGATGAGACAGCCACCTTGTGGACTAGAAAACTGCACAAATCACAAGTTGGGTCAGAAAAACATTTTTAAATTGAGTTTCACCATCCCTATGTTTTTGTGCCTGGGGAAATTTCCAAACCAGCTCAGTAGAGCCGGAGGAGTTTGAGAACATGACAGTCCTAATGCAGTGAATGATAAAGCTGTGAAAATGACTAGACTGTAGGAATGGGCACCAGAGAAGAGGGTGCTGTAATGAGCAATTCCTCAATTTGTGAGTGAGTTTACTGTGAGTCCTTAGTTGATGTTGGGTTTACAGGCAAGGCAACCAGAAACTTACCTGAGAAAGAAGATTCCATAGGAGTAAGAGGGAACCATGTATGTCAGAGATTAAACAATGATGGGAGACATTGGTGAAAATTTTGCTTATTTTTGATGTTGGCTTTATTTCACACAAGTAATTGTAATTCTTCTGTTGATTGTACCCAAGGAAGGTTAGAAAATTACACAGTACCTGTCACCACTAAAGGCTTTGTGACTAACAAGCATTACATGATAGGCATGAGGATGCTATGATCGAAACATGGACTTTGCACAGTGTATTTTGAAATACTATGAAGTGCCATGTGGAGTTTGAGAATTATATGCACATAACCACCATTTTGACAGACTTTAAATGTCTGAACCTCTCATTTGTTCTATAGATATTTGTGTAAGTAAAAGTGATGTTTAAATGATAGAGAATAGAATGAAAATAAAAATCACATTTTTTTCTTGTTACATTGAGAAATGATTGAAAGATATATTTCTCTGTCAATTCCACACATATTATACAATATTTATTCTCATATTTTGGTTTTAAATGTTAAATAATTTCCTAACATATTTAAAGTGAATTTTGGTAATTTCATTTTGCTTAACATTAATGAGTATTTACTCATAAACCATATCTTATTTGAATTCTGCCTTTGTTATCCTTACTATCTTATTTCTTTTCTGAAATAATACTTAGTAATATTATATAAGCTACAGAGTTCTGACTGTATTCTTAGAATTATCTACTAGATTCCTGCTTTCACTCCTTACTTTCTCATCCTTTTTACCCTGCAGATATTACTTTATAAACACTTTTCATAATAAAAGGGAGTGACCTTCACAGATTTATTGGCAAGATTTCATGAGATAATCTATACATTGTTTGGTCCAGTGGTTACTATATAATAAAAGATCAATGATGCATAAATGCTAATTATTATTTTAAATTATTATAATTATTGGGTGATGCTCTTGGTTACTGAAGAAGAAAATAGAAGAGAATTAAAGTAGAAATTTTCCCTTAATTTCAGTGAACATTTCTTTTCCCCCATATTTTGACTTCTCAGATGTTGCGGGGCTCTGACTTGTAGCATCACTGAGTCAGTCTTGTAACAGGGTTTAAAGTCTTTCATGTAGAGCTGGGTCATGCAGCATTCTGTTTTGATGTTGTTACATTGGCTTATTTTGAGGATTTTTCTCTTTCGTCTGGAACTGTAGAGGAAAAAAAATAGATCATGAAAAATCCTGAATGCCAGCAATATGATTCTTTGCCTATATAACTTCAGGATTCTTTGAGTGCCTTAACCTTGAAATCATCCAGTTTGGCTTGTGTTTATCTACTTTTAGTTATGATAATTTTAGTTATGTGTTTATCTCCTTTTAGTTACATCATTATTTAGAACAGTAAATCATTTCTCTTATTTGTGAATTAATGAGTATGACTTTATTTAAAATCAGCTTGCTATTTAGAATTATAGGGGAAACTTGTATACCTAACGGTATGTAAGTATACCATATATATGAATGGAAAGATGTGAAAGACATTTTTCCTATCACCTTTACTTTGCCTCAGGATTTCATAAGGACCACTATTTATGTTTAGGAAAGTTAAGAGAGCAACCATATAGTTACAGTGTGTTTTTATCAACATCAAGAAGCACAGAGAATTTTTTATTGATATAATGTTCTTTAGAAAATCTCTTATTTATTAACTATTTCCATTTGGGAAATTTCTTTATTACCATTCTCACCTTTGACTCTTTTTATTTTTGTTAATAAGCACTCGAAATCTCTTGGTAATAGAAATTTGGGTGTAATATAATTGGAGATTGGCTCCTATACTTCTGAGTTTCAGTACCATTTCATTAACCTTTTAGTGATGCCTTGCTGAATTTTTTTGGACATGAATGCAGACATTACATGTAATTATTTCTTTGGTCTTCATTTTTTGTTTATAATTGTATTTCTTAAAAATGTATACATATTAACAATAAGTTTGTATTATCTTATAGTTGCTCCAAATTTTGAAAGGGAAAATGCACCAGAAGGTCCTACCCAAAAAAGTCTTCGTGAAGCCAGGGAACAAAACAAAAGTAAAGCAAGGATGAAAGATAATTTAAAGGTATGCTGTACATATATATTTTTACCCCCAATAGTTAATTCCTAGCACTCAGATTTTTCAGATGAGATACTATAGTTTGAGACCGGTGTAGCTATAGATTCACATATTAAAATTCAGAGTATCATTATTTAACAAGAAATTTGGAGTTCCTGTACTTTAAGACCTTTGGTCTATGAGTGGAAACTGGAGATCCTGGAATGTTACTTGCAACTAGTTAGTTTACAGACATGTGTTTATCAAGTGTCACAGACAGGTCAGAGAATCATTCTGCTACCTGCTCGGACTTAACCATGACCATGTTTCTTACCAGCCTACTTTTCTGCTTAAGATTACCACTGTCCAAAATAAATAACTGCAAGAACATCCTGTGTATATTTCCCTCACAGTAAAATTACAGATGTTTCTTAGTCTTTAAAAGTTGAAGGAATTATGTCTGCCATAATTTCCTTATATCTGAGTTTCTTTGCTTTGCAATCAGGCTGATATTTAAGTCTTCTGGAATGACTAGAGAATGTTGGCATTAAAAATATGTGGTTGGGCCTTGGGTTATGTTGCACCACTGCAAGCTAGCTGTAGTGGCTTCAGTGCGAATTTGATCCCCAGACCCAGAGGTGACCCACATGGCGCAGCAGACCTTTGCTGTCTCAACTGCTGCTCTCCTCAGCAATGTACTTTGTCATTCTGTGTGTTCTGCTCCCCACTCTGTCTCTGGTGAATCCTTTCACTGCCTTTGCACCTCTGGCCTGTGCACATAAATAAATAAATCTTTATAAAAAATATGTGGTCAATAATTCAAAAATCAGAAGGAAGTAAAATTACATAAGACCTGTGAGTTGAGTTTCTTTGTTAGGAAAATTACAAAAAATGTAAGTAGTTCTTACCTTTGTATTCTAAAATATATGGCGTTTGCCTTCAAATAAAAAATATCTATAATATGGTAGCTTTTTAGTAGTTTTTTAAAATTAATTCAAACAATATATCGCTTAGCCATTATTAATAAGGTTGTTTCCTCAAAGCTATGCATTAGTCTGGTGTTGTCTTTAATATTGGAATAAAATACTAATGATTCGATAATCTTTTTTTTTTTTTTTGTGGAGTAGAGGTACTTTCACTGCTCGTATATGGGTTTATGGTATTTGACATAAGTCTGCTCTACTAGTCAGCCCATCTTCTCTGTCATCATGCTTTAACCAATCTCTCATCAAGATGGAACTGTCCTTTTTTGCCACCATAAATGCTTTTCTACTTCTCTGCTTACCTGTAATTTTAGTGTGTAAATGCAAATCATAATGTTGGAAGATTCTTTCTATCAATAAATAGTGCTTGTTTTCATCTGGGTAATATTTATTTCCATAGAGGTTATTAGTTCAGAGAATAAATAAAGCACTCAAAATACTTAAAAATGTAAAACACTTAAGTATTTTGGGGGTGATGGTGGTGATTGTCATAAAGTCCATTCTCATTTTCTAATGACATGGAAATTCTCTTTCAGGCAGTAAGTCACTCTTTGAACTTACTTGTTGATTCATTCATTAAGTGCTTTTGGCTTGTAAGACTTCATATTAGTAATGCAAGCTTGGCTTTTTATGTGACAAAAAGTTACTAAAATATAGCACATTTACATTACATGTATGTAAGGTGTATTTTTTTCCATGATGCATTAAAATATTTCACATATCTTTAATGTGATATAAAGATCTAGACCTTATATAATTCCTAAAGTATAAAATGAAGCAAATCATTTTGCCATTACTGTTACCATTTTTACTAATGTTTCTTTTTTATTTTCTGTAAGTCTGTACCATTTGATCAACATCTCCCTCAACCCCCCATTAACCAACATTCTACTCTATTTCTGTGAGTTTAATTTTTTAGAGTCTGTATTAAATGAGGTCATACAGTTTTTTTTTTTTAATTTGTTTTTTATTTTCTGTCTGACTTAGCATCATGCCCTCAGTGGCTGGATGTTATCCCTTTTCATAACTGAGTAACACTCCATCATATATATTTTGTGTTCTATAGCTATGTCTCTGGATTTTTATTTTCCTCTGTTTTTCCATCTTGTGATTCAATATTCCTTGCTTTCTAAGCATGTATTTGCTTATTTGCTTTTTTGCATTTGTGACACTGGGTTTATTTTTGTTTGTGTCTCTTTGTTTACCTCCTGTCCTTTAGGGGAGGAACGGGAAGTTGGATCTTAAAAACTGGTCTCCATTTTGTTTAGGAGTGAGGGGTGTTCCAGGCAGACAGAAACTCTTTCCCCTCACTTCGCTGTCCAAAGCAAGATAGATTTAATGCTTCAGAGGTCCTTTCTGTTTTCTTCTCTCTCTCCCTTTGTGGCATAGGGCATGGTCTATCACACTTGGCTCTACTGAAAGAGGTTGCTAGGCATGACCTACAGGGTGCGAGAAGCCAGACTCAGTCTGCCTTTTACTGCCGGTAGGAGATGCCAGACATTGATTTTTGTGCCCAGTCACCAGGCAGTGGCCAAAGATGAGGTTTTCCCACTCAGAGTTCTGCCTCTTTCTAAACTTCTGTGATCACAGCCGCTGGAGTCCAGAGAGCGTTGATATGGACCTCCATCAAACTTGCTTTTATTTTCCTTTCACTTGTGTTTAGGGCAGGACCTTGATGACCCAACCATCTCTATTTGGCCATATTGTAGGTGAAGCCTACAGTAAATTTTTTAACTCATAATTTCAAATGTAATTCCTTTGTTGCTGACTTCTAAAGCTTTGTATTATAATACTGTATCTTTACACCAATAATTTAGCCATCTACAGGAATTTCTGTTTTGCCATGCTACCATTACTCTTAAATTAGCATAACTTAATTAAAAATCGTCATGTTATTTCACAAATAGGCTAATTTCGTCATTTTTCAAACTCCTTTTACTAGTGTCTGAATTCCACCAATTATTCAACTGAAAATTACAGCATGTGCTCATGCGTATGTGTGCACGCTCTTTCCCTTCTTCCCCATATCAATTAGATATATATTTAGGGAGCAAGAAGATATTAGTTTTAGCCTTAATTTAGTGCTTTTGTACATTATCTTTGCATAAGTTAACTGTCATAAATCATATCTCTTTCAGCATAGCATCTATTAGCATGTACTTACACAGAAACTGTTTAAGAGAGTATAAATTATTTTGAAGTCTAATCTGTATTTGAAACTCAGAGCTATCACTTATTACTTTACAAATCTAGACAAATTACTTAATTTCTATGTTTCTATCTCTATAAACTGGTAAGAATAATATGTGCATCAAAGGTCTTTTTTCACTGTCAATGTGTGTGTATAGCACAGTGCCTATTAGAAAATTAATGTATATTAATTAAAAATTAAAAATAAAATTTATGTGTGTGTGTGTGTGTGTGTAGCACAGTGTTTATTAGGGAGATTGGCCTGCAGTTTTCCTTTTTTGTGTTATCTTTGGTTGGTTTTGGTATTAGTGTAATGGTGGTTTCATAGAACATATTTGGTAGTATTCCTTTTTTCTCAATTTTTTAAAAGAGTTTGTGTCAGATAGCCACTAATTCATTTCTGAACATTTAGTAGAATTCATTTGTGAATCTGTTTGTTCCTGGGCTTTTGCTTTTTGGGGAGTGTTTTGATTACTGTTTCAATTTCACTGCTTGTCTGGTAAGGTGTTCTGTTTCTTCTTTTCCTAGCACTGGGTGGTTATATTGTTCTAGGAATTTGTCCATCTCTTCTAGATAGTTGAACTTGCTTGCGTATAAATGTTCATAATAATCTTTGATTATACTTTGGATTTCTTCTGAGCACTTAGTAATTTTTCCTCTTTCATTTGTAATCCTATTTATTTGTGTTTTCTCTCTTTTTTTCTTTTTTCTTTTCTGTGAGCTTCGCAAGTGGTTTGTCTTTTGTTTACTTTTCAAAGAACAACTTTTGGTTTTGTTGATCTTTTGGATTGTTTTTTCTTTATTTCTATGTCATTTATTTTTGCTTTAATTTTTATTTTTCCTTACAGTATTGTTGAAGTTTGTCTTGTGTACCAATACAATCTATTCTGGAGAATCAAACCATGACCATGTACACTTGAAATTAACATATACTTGGATTTTTTTTTGGGGGGGGTTATCATGTTTTATAGATGTGTGGTAAGCCAATGAGGTCTAGGTCTTTATTTTTTGTCTTGTTGATCTGTTCATTGGTGAGAGTGGGGTGTTGAAGTCTCCTACTATATATGTATTTTCTCTAATGTCTATGTTCAGAGCTGATAATAATTGTCTTATGAGTTCCTTCATTTGGTGAGTATATGTTAATGCTATGTCTTTCTGATGTATTGTCCCCTTAATCATAATGTAGTGTCACTCTAACTTTTTTACTTTGAAACCCATTTCATCTGATAATAAGTATAGCTATTTCTGCCCTCTTTTTTTGGTCAATTCACTTGTAGGGTTGTTTTCCAATCTTTTACTTGTAGTCTGTGTTTGTCTTTTCTGGAGACAATAAGAAATACTTTAATTCCTGCAGTTCTGACATCTCTATTCTTACATCTAAGAGTTTTGCTTTGTTGTGTCTTACATTATTTCTAGGGTTTATAGTATTTAGCATGAAATGGTACAGGGAGTCCATACCATTTTGTCCCAAATAGATGTCAGTTCATTAAATATTGCTTTCTGATTTTAAGTATTATCCCAAAATCAGTTTTTAAAATATAGAATGCCGAGAGAATCACATTTCATTTGGCTTCATCCATATAATTAATCGTTCATATGGTTCCTTTTCCCATTGTCTGTAGTATCAGATCTCTTATTTAAATAGACACTATATATGCCTGGGTTTACTTCTACCACATTGGTTGATTTGGTTATTCCTGTAGCTAACCTACTTTTAAATTCTTACAGTTTTTATTAAGTTTAGAAATATCCTAATATCCTAGGACAGTTGCCTCAAGCTTACTCTTACACTTGAAAAGTGTTTTAGCATTTCAATAATTATAAAATAGGCTCGCTAAATTCCTAAAATATTTT